AACAGATTCAAATTTTAAGCAGGCAGTAGTGGGCAGCTAAAAATCACAAGGATGGAGAGTTTTACTATGGTGAGTCATAAAATATTATATTTATATTTATTATGTAAAAAAAAGGGGGGGGTTGTGTGTTGTTAGAAAACAGTCACAGACAGTTTAGGGTTAAGGCAACCCACCTACTCCGTGGCCGTACTCTGCGGTCTGAGAAAGCTTGTTTTTAAACCGTTTAAACTGTAATTTAAACCACTCATGTCAACCAAGTAGACGTTAGATAAATGTGTACAATTGTGCTATTAAGATTTCGCTTCTTTTCATGCTGTAGCTGGAGGTGGCTTTGCTGACAAACGTCAGCATGGTGTGAACATCACCACTAAATATTTCCAGTTTAATGTCATCAACATTCTGACTCATCCTACCACAGTATCAAGACATGCTGAAAGGAAAGCACAGGATGTACTGGCATCCATGGCAATGGAGATCAGACAATCAGTTGAAAGACATGGATGTGTGGTTACAGCAGATATATGGACAGAAGATTACCATGTCCAATACTATTATTTGAAAATATTTTCTTACATTATATTTCATTCAAGTGCCATGGGGTTGTCTTCAGTTTCTAAGATAGTATATAAATAGTTTCATATTTGCATACAGTGTAACCTCGATTTTTGAACTTAAGTCGTTCTGGAAAGCCGTTCATGAACCAAAAACAATTTTCCCCATAGGAATCAATGTAAAATGGGTTAATCCGTTCTTGGACCCCAAACGACTGCTTGTTCAAACTTTTTCAACAGTATTTTCTAGGTATGCACCAACTTTTCGACCACAAAAATGGTACTAGAATGGCACTAAAGTGCATTTTCGGTTTTTGGCCGAAATATTTTTTATCACTGTAACAATACGGCCCGAAACAGGAAACAAGTTATGATGGTGCAAGCAAAAACCACCCGTCCAGCGCGGGCTTGTCTGAAAGTACCAACATGTCTGCAGTGTGGATGTATTTAAATATAGCTGAGAAAGGCCCACGGATAGCGATTTGCAAAACGCGTAATGCTGAAATTTCAAGAGGGGGTTAAAAGTACACTCATGGAGTCTGTCTTTTCACGTTTCACTGTCACGTTTCACTGAGATCTTTTCGGATCCTCTGCACTTCATTGTGACTGTAGTTGATCCGTGTTATAAAGATCAATACTTGGATGCGGGAATAAAGCAGCATGCTCGAGAAATGATCCAGGCCTGCTCACAGAGTAGGAGAAGGACAGAGGTGTGCCAAATGGGGGCAGGTACTCTCGTTGTCTGATATGTTCTATGAGATCCTGCAAGAGACTGACGCAAATAATAATAATAGCTGTGCTATTCTGTTCTGACTTCCTTTGTGACGATCAGGACTTCCTGTCTGACTATCAGTTGATTTTATTTCTCTATTAGACATTTGACAATTAATTATTTCCACAATTTTTAATTTATTATTTATTTATTATTAAGTTATTTCCACAATTTTTAATTTATTATTAATTTATGCAATCGCGGTGCCTTGGTTTTATTGAGGTTTTTGGTTTTTGGCCTTGGTTTCCTCATTTTCAGGTTTTTGGTTTCAGGCAAAAATGTTATTGTTGGTGCATCACTAGTATTTTGTGTACAGGTTTTGCTCATATCACGAGGAAAATCTTTGCAATGGTTGCTTACTCGTATTTTGGGTAGCTCGTATCTGTATATTAATGATAAATAGTGTCTTCGTTTAAAGTCACGATTGGACACAAATATTGGGGAATTGATTTTGAAGTGAAGTGACTGACAGAGACAGGCAGTAGAAGCGGGTGGTAATGGTCAGAAACTCAGCAAGAGTGGGTGGCTAGCCCCATGCAGTACTCTAGTATGGACTTTATTTTTATCAGACAGTTGGAGTGGTAAAAAGTAGAAGGGTGAGGTGAGGTTGTTGGACTGGAAAGGTGGAGCTGGGTATTGTCCATGTAGCTGTTGCAAGGGGATGCCATATTTCTAGAAGATACGGCCTATATTTGAGGATGTGGATGATGAAATGACGGTTACTAGGACACAGCCCTGGGGCACACCATCTGTAACAAGGGCAGACAGGGAAGAGGCAGTGAGCACTGAGCAGACAATAATACACATCTGATGTGATAACTTTAATGTCGCCATTATATGCAATGTGCAAGGGTTAAACTGCTGGTGTTTTGCAGAAATTATCCCAATTTCTGTTTGCCTCCTTTGAACACTGTGTCTCCCGCTGTTTTTGGCCACATCTTCCTCTCGAGCTTACAAATGATTTGTATCTTGTCTGTCACTGATTTTTTGGCAAACGGCAAATTCGCCTAGGCAACATCATGCTCGCAGCAACAAAAAAAGTGAATCGCGAGACAGCCTTCAACACAACACAAGATATACTGGCAAATTACAATATTGTTTTGCAAACCTAGTGATTATAGACCCTTGTCAGGAAACTTTTTCTATTAGTTAGGACTGTAAAAAATGCTGTTAGTTCATACCCCAGTTTCCTAACACACAAAAAAAATTCAAATAAAGATCAAATAAAGATCTGATCAAATAAAGAATCAAATACGAGAACTCAAAGTTTTAAAAGTTTTACTTGCGGCAAGGAGTGCAGAACAATGGTTACATTCAGAACTGCACTGAGGAACTCCTCAGTGCTCAAAGCTTAAATACAGTTTTTTCACATACACATCAATGGTCAGTACCTTAACCCTTTACAGTCATGTGGTGTTCTCGTGTACCTTCTGAACACTGATTGGTAAAGACTGCTCCAAACAAGGATTCTCCACCAATAGGAGCTATGTGGAAATGCTGTAGTTAATCAAGTCAGATAAGACCATGCAGGTCGGATGTTTTTCTCTCTTTGTCTTTTGTTGGTCTTCCGTCGGTCTCCTTATTTGGGCAAAGAAACCAGTTCTGACCGGTTCTGTGTCCCGTCTCTATCTCCAAGTGTAACAGTGCCTAATGTTTAATGGCAATTAATGAGGTATTTCTTACAACTAACATGCGAGCCTACTTCACAATCAATATATATACACATACTGTTCATGTATTGCAGTATTTCTTTTGAGAGAATTCAAGTAATTTAACTGTAGCTGCAAATTGGTGTCATCATCCCCATAAAATGAAATGGGGTATAATGCCCTGCCTACATGAGGAAGAATGCTCCCAGAAATGACCCATTAAATGAATGCCTCAGGCAACAGAAGCCCTGCGGGAAAGAAAAGACACCGGAGCGTCCATCATCACTAGACAGATCACTGCTGTACCAACAGTGTTAGAGGAAGTGGCTGACATCAGTAGGACCTACCAATGGATGGGCCAGGCTAGAATGAAATCCAAAGAGGGGCATGGGAGAGAAGACAAGAAGAGAGGAGACAAGAGGAAAGAATCGGAGGAGAGGCAAGGAAGGGGAAGGGGGATCTACCACACCAGGCAGAACGCCAGGTGCAGACTGTGCAAGATGCCCCTGAGACAGTGCAACACGTCGCAGTAGGATGTACGATGTTGGCAGAAAAGGTGTACTTATATAGTCTACAGACACTTCTGTGCTAAGTATGGTTTAGAGGACACCGCACAGGATAGATGACACCTGCAAAGGTGGCAGAGAACAACGACGTTGAGATCCTGTGGGGGTTTCCAGACCATAACAGACCAGCAGGCGTTGGCTCAAGCCAGGTGTTGTAGTCATTGAATGAACTGTTAGCAGTGGTAATATATCTTCATTTTGTGATGCTACAATGTTTGTGACTGATTAGACCAGGCTTGGGCAAACTTTTTGACTCGCGGGCCACAATTGGTCCTAAAATTTGACGAGGGAGCCGGGTCAGGAGCAGATAGATGGAGCATTCATGTGAACTAAGATAAATGACATTAAAAAAAAATAAAAGTAACGCAGAAAGGCTAAAATGCTTTTATCATTTTCCATGCAGGGAAAAAGGCAGAAGTATAATGAAAATAGAAATAAATTCTATAATTCGTAAACGTTTGGCGGGCCGGATTACAAAGCTGAACGGGCCACATCCGGCCCCCGGGCCTTAGTTTGCCAATGCCTGGATTAGACGCTAATATATTTGTTAATTACCATCTCCCAGTGGCTGATGGTAGTTAACTAGGCGAACAACGGCTTATACCGATGTTGATCAGATACATCAGTACATCCCTAGATGTACTGATGTATGTATCTTGTTAGACTAGAGGATGGGAAAACTGTGGTAAAATGAATTAGGGATTTTCTTTCTCCAATAAACCCCCACAAGAGTACATCTGAACATAAAAGAGTTGGTGAGCAGCAATCATAGCAAGTGCAAAGATTTAATCAAAGTCAAGCAAGCTCTGGGAATTAGAGCGCGTGGCAGAAGAACAAAGAAAACACATATTTACACACATGAGCTCATTACCCATCTCGTTACTGTTGTCTTTGTTTTTTACCAGATTACAGTTACAGAGACTGTGCTGTTCCTCGTCCAGTACACGTCTAACGACTTTGATCGCTCGGAAAAAAAAGTGGCCTCCGGTGACTGCTGCTACCTCAATCCATTGGTGCGTAGGACTTTCCGCTTTCTTGGTAAGTTCCGCGATTGTTTCCTTTTATACAACTGCTGCAAATAACATCTCTGGATATGCACACTTCAAGAACTATTATTCAAGAGTTATTAGTAACTTGAGATACACTGCCTGGCCAAATAAAAAGTCGCCACCAAAAAAAAGGGTCATACACTCTAATATTTCTTTGGACCGCCTTTATTTTGAAAGATAATCGCACATGCAGTAATTATCCAATAGGAGGCTCGTACCTATTTGCTTTGTTAAATCCAGGTGGCGACTTTTTTTTTGGACAGGCAGTGTATTTATCATGTGATATAAATTTGTAAAATGTCACACAATTACGTCAGTAGAAAACAAAGTCAAAGGTAATTATTACGAATGGCTCGATACAACTTTCCGCGTCCAAAAAGATACTGCAAATTGGAGTATCTGCTGATATCCAATACCACCTTACCAATACCACAGAACATGCATTTACTGCAGAGGTGTGTGTGTGTTTGGGAAAGCGGACAGGATTTTGGGGAAGGCTCACATTCACCCAATTTGAAACCCCCTGCCTTACATGATCACCAATTTGATGTTGGATTTTGACTCTAGAATTGGCTCCAAGGCCCCTGTCACTCTGGGAAGGATCAAGGAATAGAAGATGGATGAATTCATTAACCTAAATGTTGTTGATGACCTTACCTCACTTTGTTTTTTTTGGTATCGATTGTTTTTTCAGGAGTCTTCACTTTTGGCCTCTTCACGGTAGACATCTTTGTCAACGCGGGCCAGGTGGTGACAGGAAACCTTGCCCCGTACTTTCTCACAGTTTGTAAGCCAAATTTCACGGCACTGGGCTGTCAACAGACCATACGTTACATCAGCCACCAAGAGGCCTGCACGGGAAACCAGGATGACATCTTGCGGGCCCGAAAAACGTTTCCGTCCAAAGAGGCGGCCCTAAGCAGCTATGCTGCGCTGTACCTTGCTGTGAGTAGTGATATCATACGTAAATANTATATATATATATATATACAGTAATACTCCTGCTCTTTTTTTAGATGGCTGTTCCGGCCATCTAAAAAAAACCTCCCTTATTAGTGCTAATAACAATGGAAAAAACATGTTTTTAATTGCTATAGAGACATACACACACACACAATATTATAGTATATAGGAATTTCTGTGATATAAAATAAAACGTGGTAAAATTAACTTTAGTAAATAACTTTAAACAAAAAAAATAGATATGACAGGATTTTCTTTGACTAAAGTAAATTTGTAAAAATGATGTACTTTTTTTTAACTGTGTCCCACTGTGGCCCGGTACCAAATCACCTATAGACTGGTACTGGTCCGTGGACCTGGGGTTAGGGACCCATGATCTATACAGTCGTCCATTTACAACCAGCCCTTCAAGGGGAACTGTATTGCTAATGTGGCCCCCGGTGAAAATGAGTTTGACGCCCCCTGCCTTAGATGAATACTATATGTTTAAAGGAAGAGCTAAGGATACACCTTTAGTGAGTACCAACACAGACACAAGTATCCATCTAAACACTCTGTCAAATACCAGGGTCAAAAACATCATCACTATATATCCAGCACAACTGAGAGGTTGTTAAAATGAAGTTGTAGTTTCACCATGACCCTGACATTTATTGAGGTGGATTAAAGGTTTTATTACCTTTAGGTTGTAAACCAGACCTAGTCCAAAAAGATTTGGTTGAAAAATTGCTCTTTAACTTTACCTAGATTTTGATTAATGACAAATCTGATGGTTTTATTATCTTCTTACCAACAAGTAATGCAGGAACTTTGGGAGTACATTTAAAATTAAGTAATGAGTTTCCAATATGTTATTATATTGGAAAGATGTATTTAGAAGTTTTAAATACATATAAATACAAAAACATGTATTCAGATCATTTTGTGATGCAGAGCAAATATAATAGAATCCAATGCTGGGTTACTTTATATATTTGTGTTCACTGTTTATTACTAGTGCCTTTAGTTGCTAAAATTGTCCTTGTTTTCATCACCAATAATTTACAGTGTATATTAACCCAAACTTCGGAATTCCATGCAAACTTTTAACAACTAAATGAATATAAACTTAAAATACTCAAGACAAAAATGCATTTAAACTGATCCTCAACCAAGACTAACCAACCATGAAAATCAAGAATTAGTTTATAACCTACATTTGTTTTCGCTCAAAATTATATGAATAGATATGCCCATAGTTGAGTATTCAATATGGGATGGTCCCCAACCTACTATTGGATGTGAATAATTTGGTACTTGGCCGAATAGTTGATGAAAAGTTTTTTTTATTTTTTTTTATTTTAAAAACGTTAGGCTACATAGCACTTTATTTTGAAAACGACCACTTTCTGCCTTGTGCTCCTCCCTTTAGCAATTCACTTCTTTTTTGGGTTTGAGTTCATGGTTGTTTTGCTAACTTCTTAGATGTGTTTTGCTAATTTCATAGATGATATGATATGTTTTGCTAACGTCATTGATGTTTTTTGCAAACTTCATAGTTGTTGTTTTTTGCAAACTTCATAGTTTTTTGCCAATGTCATATTTGTTGTTTTTTGGCCAACATCATATTTGTTGTTTTTCGGCTAACATCATAGTTGTTGTATTTTGCTAACATCATATTTGTTGTTTTGAGACTAACTTTGTAGTTGTACTTTTGCTAACTTCATTTTTGTTGTTTTTTGCACAAATTGAAGTTGCACTATTTTGCCGGCCACTGGATTGGTGGGTTGGCCGCTATAGAGATGACATGTATGTGCTTTTATTTGTCATTGCATGCAATGCATGCATGCAGAAGGGTGCCATGGTATTTTCCTTGATGTTTGCTTTGTTATGCTCAAGGTTGACTGTCATTTTGTGAACTCTGTTCACTTAGTTATATATTATCATGTGTTACAAAGTCACCAGAATGTGTAAAACCTCACCTGAATTCTTAAAAAATAATTTCCAGTATCATTTTGACAAATGGTAAAAGAGCAAAGACTGAGTGACTGGCTGTCCTCAGCATAGAAGGAATATTTTATGTCACGCTGTCCATTAAGCTGACAAGCCTTTGATATAGTGAGCATGCCCACGGCCGCTAACGTTTGATGCTAATGAGAAATATAGGTCAGAGCTTGCGCCATGTGATACAAATGCTGTTAGTACACATTGAGTTCTCTAGAGAGGCCTCAGGCGGAATGAGGCTCAGTCGACAAACGTTAAAATAATATCAAATAAATATTTTTGATACTAGTACCGTTCTTGATACCTTCATTTTGATACTACAGTTTTATAAAACAAATTGCAACAAAAAATAATGATACAACAATTTTAAATGCAGATTGCTGCAGATTTTCTGCTCCATCGTGTTTCCAAGTGACATAGCAGCTTGCATTTATGATTAGATCGCATTGATCAGATGACTATCGGACTATTTTGTGGATCGTTTACAAAGAAGTTGTTGTTGTCAGATTATGCCCTTGATTGCGCCATTTTAACCACCGTATATACACAGTCACTGAGGTATGTGTCAGAGGCAACCTTTTGACTCCGGAGTGATGTTTCGAACTTCTGACACACATCTGTGCATCAACTAATTTTTTTTTTCAGTCAATGTTCTTATGCCAATAAAAAGACGTTTGCAAGACGAGGCAGACAATTTTAAACACTTTCAAATACCATACTAAAACTCACAACTGCCCCTATTTTACCCCCGATATTTCCTGAGTCACAAATCCCAGTATCTGATTAATGAAGCTCGACGAGTAGTCGCTCTTCTCACTGCACATAAAATGCTTTTTTCATCATCATAGTAACACAGCTGCTACTCCTCCTTTATTCCACCGCACTTGCCGGACCTCATCTATGCACAGGACTTTGTCTTTAGCATTCCTTCCTTTTCTAAAAACTCACTGATGAACCTCCACCAGACAGCCTCATTATCATATTTGTCATTTGTTTATCATTCCTCTTCCTCTTAATTTATTTGCTAAAATAAGAAAGGGACGTCAATAAGTTTGGAATTTTTTTCTGAACACACCAGTAATGAGATTAAATAATAAAAAGAGAACGGCAGAGAGTGGGAGAGTGGGTCAAGCCAGAATGGCCTGAAGCCCCTCCGTCTCCTCTTCTGTGTCCTTTCTTGTCCTCTTTGACCATATGGCCTTCTGGTGAGCTGCTGTGTGATTACATCACGACATCATTATCATTAGCACAAGCTGAGAGCACACTAAATTGGAAGCCTTTTTTGGCAGGTTTTTTGTGGACTTCCTGTCCAGAACGATTTCAGAGGGAGAGATGCACTCAGTGGAAGCTGGCTGGTAGCAAGTGCTGTTCATTATCAGTTGTTCACCAGTTCAAATGAACCTCCGACAATTCAGACAAATCATGACAAATTGGCATCTGAAGAGTTTAGCTTTTGCTTCGAGATACGAGTAAAGATTTGCGATACTAGCACACTTACAGACACTGTCTCGTTCACTTCACTTGTTCATCGACTTCCGTACGCATCTCTAGCGAGTCTTCCGTATTGTGTTTGCGTTATTTATGTGATTTTATCTCGAGTCCAAAGAAAGTGAGTGGTAAAGATTGTAGTGAGAAGATGAAACGCATGATGACCATGGAAATAAAGCATGAAATTGTCGATAAATATGAGCGTGGTGCCCCGCTAAAGAAAGAATACAAATCGAAAGCAAAAAAAAAAAAAATAGGAAAAAAAAAAAAAGTGGAAGCAGGCTGTTAGCAAATGCTGTTCATTATCAATCGTTCACCAGTACAAATGATCCACAGACCAAATCAGAAAAATCATGTCTCCAGACAAATTGGTATCTGAAGAGTTTAGCATTTGACTAAATATGCTAAATAAATCTTTTCATATTGTTTGTAATTGATTTATTCTTTGAAACATTAATATTTATCTATGTAATTGCAATGCCTTGATTTTAGTAAGGCTTGTAAACCTTGTTGGCCAGTACGTAGACCTTGATTCCGTAGCGTACCTTACACGTACACTACGTAACTTACATAAACTTAGAATGTATTTCCATAGTCATCATGCATTTCTTCTTCTCACCACCATCCTTACCAGTCACTCTCCTAGGAGTCATCACTATTATGAAGAAAAATGACACAAATTAGAGATAAAAACACGTAGATAACGCAAACACTCGGCCACTGCTTGTATCTCAAACCTTTACTCGTATCTCAAAGCAAAAATTTGGCTTGCTCGTATCTCGACATACTCATATGTCGAGATACTTGTATCTCGAGTATATATATAATATACTCTATATATACCCAAAGAATGATATTTTACCTGAAACTAAATATAAACATATAAATATATATTATATTATATTATTTATATACAGTATACACACATATATATACATTTATTATATATATTTTTTGTTTAGTTTTTTATTTTAATTGCAAGTGATCTACCAGCACTCCAGCTCGCAATCTACCTATTGGGCAGCATAGAGACATGTTAGCTTGGCAGCTCAGGATGTGGCTTAGCAGTTTAGTTTGTATCGACAGGATATAAATATTAGTTCCCACTGTTCTCCAGACTTCTAAACTAAAATGAATAGAAAGACTTTTTTTTAACGACAAATTACTAACTAAGTGCACTTCCTTTAGAATGTACCTATATTACTACGATAAGCCTTTTACGCTACAGTTTTGATTTAAAAGAAAACACAAAAGTCCGTTAATCTAACCGTTGATTTCTTCTTTTCTGGCAGATGTACGTTACAACTTCAGTGCGCGCCAAAGGCACTCGTCTGGCCAAACCATTGCTGTCCCTAGGGTTTATGTGTCTGGCCTTCCTCACGGGGTTGAACCGGGTTGCTGAATACCGCAACCACTGGTCTGATGTCATCGCCGGCTACATTATTGGAACGGCAATTGCTACATTCCTGGTAAGACCCACAGTAACAAATACATTGTGTATAGCTGGTATAATCGTATAATGACCATACAATAATTAACTACCATCTATATAGAAATGTCCGATACGCCAATATTGTAACGAGTTACTGCAACTGTGTTTCAATAAAAGTTCTTCGGCGCACTGAGGCATCTGACTAGTCTGTCTCCAGGGCATTGTTGTTTATTTTTAGAGCACACATTATTCGGTGAAACGCAGGCATTGCGTTATCATGATTTCATTATTGGAGGAAAAACGGATAAAGATTCCTTACAACATAAGCTAACATTTGGCCAATAATATTTTGCGACATCCCTAATAAAAAAAATATATATATATATACAAATATATATATATACATACATATATATACATATATATATACATATATTTATATATATATGTATGTATATATATACATATATATGTATATATATATATACATATATATATATATATACAGGACCGCCCCAACCCAGGGTTTTCAAGTGGGGTCTTCTCATCCACCTAAACCAACCCAAACTCTGTCAACAAATGTATCGGCTACACCAGTTCTATTCTATTCACCCTCTCTGTAACAGCTTTAACTGTAATCAATGAGATTCCCCAGTAGATGGCGATCATGGGCTACATCCAAACAAAAATTGCCAAAACTTCTATGAATAAGTTTTGGCTTGTGACCATGAGCTGGAGTTTGACTTGACTTTTGCGCATTGGTAAGAATATCAGTACGTCTGGTTCTGTTGTCATTTTGCTCATGTTTATGGGTGTTGTAGGTCGTATGTGTGGTCCATAACTTTGAAGGCAAGCTACTGCTGAGCGAAGAGTCGTCGTGTGAGCAGCAGCAGCCTAATATGGCCACGCTAAGTCCCATGGAGAAATACATGGCCTCGCAGGTTAGTACAGCATTACACAACACAACAGCAGTATATACTTAGAGAATTTAGCTCACGTAAAAAAAGGAGTTCACAAGCTGTAGTGTGGCTATATAGGTCCCTTACATTTGTCCTTTGACTCGATACAAATAATAATTTATTTGTTTTTGTTATTAAAATTTTAAATCATTTATGTGCCAGAGATCATAGTTTTTTTTTTTTTTATGATCTGAAGGCCCAATTTCTATAGTACAAAATGAATTAAATTAAATTAAAATGACAAATGATAAAATGATGATAAAGATGACCAATATTTACATTTAATTTATAATAAAAAACAAGTGATTTTACATAATATAATAATAAAAAATGAAGGAAATATATATATATAAATAAATCAATAATAAATAAAAAAGTGTGATTTTTTTCAAGCCCTCTAGGTGGCACTGCCGCAGCCATGTGGTTGAGAATCACTGCCTTAGATTTAAGAATGAGAAATGGGATATTTT